ATGCCCACTAAGCCAGCCGAATGAAGACACAACGGCCGCAGCCGCTACCTTTGTTTCAAGCACCTCAGGTCGCTCTTCCAAATCTTGACCAACGTGAATAGATAGCTATCAGTCTTTCAACGACCAGCAGCTCGCACACGGCACGACAGGCCTTGTGATAATGCTCGCACACCCGCGACGTCTATATACCCGTCTATGTTTCCCGGCAAAGCCTGTATTTGATGCGGCTGCCCGAGCATACTCTGCACTCAACACCTGCCTAAGGTGGCCCAGCGGAGATGGTAGTAGAAGCCTGTTAGCCCGTTCAGAAACCGCTGCCACAATGGCCAGTCTGGTCATGCACACGAGCGGCGAAACGCTGTGATTTCGTCGGGGTTTTCTCTAGTGCTGTTTCGGCGGCGGCGCGGCGCGGAAATAATGATTTTTTCGTCCGTGCATCACTTCGGCGCGAACAGCGCTCCGCGCTGAACACTAGCACACAAAGCCTATCGCAGTCGGGGTCGAAGTTCATGGCACGATCATGTTCGGCAATATCGCAGCGTGGATAGCTGCGAGCCGTGGGATCCGCATTTCAATCGCCACTACCATCGGAGGTCTATTGGCCCCCTAGCCGCTCGCGAATGCCGCTCCTCCAGTCCCTCTCTTGCCTGGTGTCTAACCGTGCGTCTCTCTGTCTGCCCTGGCTCGTGCTGCGTTCCACTCACGCCGTAGTTGCTTCATCTCCTGCGTTCCCAGGGCAAGAGTCCCGTCCCGTGTGTCGGCAAGGTGTCTGGCAATCGCCTCCGCATCGTCATTCGTGGTCTGGGCCGTTTCGCCGTCTTTTGTGCCTTCGCTGTTTTTCATGTCTGTAAATCTCTGCTGCGTTGTGCCGCAACGTTTCGGATACCGTCTTCGCCCTCGTATGTGGGCAGCAGGAGGCAAGGCAAGGGGCTATTTATGAAGAGACAGCTGCGCTCTCGCATGCGGACGCATCAAGCGGCATCATTAGACGCAGCCTCCCCGGCAGATCAGTACTTAAAATGGGTCGTCAAGTTTCTCCATCGCAGCTTCATCCCTGTCGAAGACATGATACCAGAATCCTTTGATGAAGCGCAAGTAATACAGCAATTCCTGTTCGTCAGTTTAGCAATAGAAGGGGGCGTGAACCGAACTTACGTCGTGACATCTCATGGCAATCATTTTACTGATGACGGCTAGCCGCAGCCCGCAGTACAGAGCTGGAAGATGGCGCAATGCGTCAAATGCCGGAGCAAAGTGACGATGTCCGAAGAGCTTCTCGAGTTGATTTTTCCTATTCTCCGAGTCTGTAATTGCACCGAGTCGTGCCCACCACTCTTGTTCGAGGTATTCGTTTTGCTCTCCAAAAATACCCTGGTATTCTCGTATCCTAAGGGAAAAAATGCCATCGCCTGGTTTTTTCTCGTTCGAGTATTCTTCCATCAGATCTCTCTTCGCTTCGTCGCTGATATCTTTGCTTGCATTAGATCGAGTAAGTGTTGGACGTTCATTGCATCTGCCACAAACCTGAGATGTAGAGGTCGACGGCCCAATGCGGATCTGGCGACCGAGAAACCTCTTCGGAAGCTTGAATCCTGTCACGCCCACGCAAACATTGCATGCGAAATCCGGACGGGAACTCTAGCCTGGGGGGCCGACTGCCGCATGACAGAAGCGATTCACGACTTAATCCGGAGGCATCCAGTGCTGCTTGTAAATCAGTCTCGTCAATGACAGCTGGTATGCGATGCTGCCGTTCCGATGGGCTATAACCACGCTGGTTTTTAAACAGCCTTATTAATCGCTTGACGTTTTTACTGTTCGCGTTGCTGGAGTTGAGAAAGTCCAGAATGCTGCGTTCAACTTGAGGTTTTTGACCGCACTGATGCGGCGCGATACCGCCTGAAATCCGCTCCAAGCCATGCTACAGGATACTTTGAAGCATTTGGTAATCTGCGAAAGGAATGCGAATGCTCTGGTGGAAAGGAGCAGCTTTATGTTCATATGCTGTAACCAGTTTTGGTGCCACAACCTTTGCAATTCCCTACCAGCCTGTATAAGTGCACGGCACCCACACCTCGTCGACGTGACAAGCTTTTGTGTTTCTAGCCAGCACGGCAGGCTTCTTGTTCTAATGAGTATGCACTGCAATAAAATCCGAAACTCGGAAATTAAATGATGTGAAAGCACAAGATCTACCAAAGAAAAAAGAACCCAACCACGCCAATGAATGATCGCCTGCCTATAAAGAAAAGCGACAGCGCGGCCACCACTGCGCCATCGGCTGTTACATTACCACGGGACTCATACTTCAAGCTTTTTGACCTGCATCTCGGGGATAATGACTATTATACCGTGGCGGAAGAAAACCGCCCCCATCCAGACAGGAATCCAGTTGTTATTCTCAAGACCTTCACCGGCCCTCGGGCAGAGAACCAAGTGCAAGCGATACGCAGGACTCAGCACAATCGATTTGTCGACGCCAAAGACTTCCTCCCTATAGATGACGGATACTTTGTAACCTTCGAATTCATGCCCTTAGCACTATGTGAAATTGCAGGCAAGCCTCTTCTAGATGATCTACGACTGGCGTGCGTGGTGGGACAGGTAGGCGTTTTGTCTGCCCAGAAATACTTATCGCTAAACCCGAGCAGATTGTGGACGGGCTTCTATACCTAGAACGAAACGGTCTACAGCACTCGAATATTACCTGTTCCAACATACTAGTAGACTTGTTTGGCAATGTCAAAATATGTATGTCATGCCCACATCGCGGTCCAGTCCTCCCGCTGATCCATTCAGGGGGCCAAGAACAAGCGGCTATAAGTGAAAGCCTCAGAAAAATGCTGATCATGATAGAATGCGTTGCTAAAACTTCCTTAGCATAAGAGAAGGCTTGCAGGCCTGGTCTGTATGACAAATACGTGGGTGGGCTTTGGATACAGGTTCCCAGCAGTAGCGGCAGGAGGGACATGCAGCGTGTATCTTCAAACAGCTACCTAATGACAGGAAACGACGGCACATAGAGAATAATTTATACGGACTCGAGACTCAAAAACAAGAAAACCAGACACTTCAACGTCCCCATTTGCTGCGCAGCGATCATGTCACGGCTGATATTCCGCGTATTCAACATCTTCAACATCCACACCACGGTATTGATGACATCGCATCACTTCGATTAATGCGTCTCGCTTGACGCCGCACATAGATACTGCCTAAATTAGTTGGAAGTTGTTACTTGCTGTGAGATGTACTTGCCCGAAATTACCGTCTTACTCCGGCGTCGTCGTTGTTGCAGTTCTGAGGACAAGACATCGGCTAGGGCTATGGGACCCTGATACACCGTAGCTCGACTGCCGAAATCCAATTCTTTTATGCTTGCTTCTGTTATGTGAATGTATATGCGGAGATTCTTGGCCAACCTAGCTCCTCCGGGAAGCAATCCGAGCAGCGAGAAGCTTGGTTTTGAGGTCAAATACGGAGATGGTTCGTTGGCAACAACACGGAACACCACCAGCTTATCCACAAGAAACTTTTTTAGTTTACTCACGTCAATCATTGAGCTCAAGTGGAGGCAGAAGAGCCCGTTATAATACTTCCAATATCTTTGAGTGATATCTCATCGGTCTGCTGAGGAATGTTATTTGTAATTGTCTCTATGCGTTTGGCTTCAAGTGAATGCGATATATTGCTCATACTGAAGAAACAAGCAGCCGAACACAAAACAGTTTAGTAATCTTAGTTACCTGGCGGGGTAAATCAGAACCGCTATTTCTGGCTCTCTAACGTTAGGCAGCAGCCAAAATACACCCCACTAAAATTATTATGTTAGAAACCCGCGACACCCATAGCGTCTAAGTCGCGGCCAGGACTAGCCCCTTCACAGCCCTCAGCCACTACATTCCCCGCCACAATATTCTCCATCTACTATTGCCGTTTACTGCCACTGCCATTTATGGCCGTTGCTGTTTCTTCCACGCCATTATTTCCACGCCATTCACGACCATGGCCATTCACGACCATGGCCCTTTACGACCGTCGCCAGTTACGACCGTCCATTTTGCCGCTGCTAAACCGGGGCTAGAACTGCTGGCTCCGACCACCTTCCCCTATTGTCAGTAGGCGCCCAGCAAATTTACGCCCCTAGTGTACCCGCATTCGGTGATAACCCACCCTCCGGCCGCGAGAAATCGTGGCAATCTCACCAGCGCGCTCCTAGATCTCTCTGGCGCGAATGTCTTAAGAGTCCACCATAACGAGCAAACAAGCTTCTTTTCTCGCTGTAGGTGTGCTGTTTGCCGAGGTGTTTTATTGGACACAGGTCTCAACGCACAGTTGACGATGAACGGAGACTTTCTGAGAAACCTTGCCAGACGCTTTGCCTCCTTCAGCTAAGATGTGCTCACTGCTCAGACGCCACATTCTACCACACACGTAGTCACCCACCTTTCCTGCTGTGGTAGAGACTGACGACTCATCAGACTGTACTCAGTCGTTATGTTATGGCCAGAAATCAATTGTAGGAATATGTATCGCGTGAGATTTATTTAAGAGACTGCGCTTCTATCATGATGAAGGCTACTGTTACCGCATATCACCCCGATTAAACACCATAAACACGTGAGTAGGCCCAACTGTGCACCCATAAAGCCCAAGTCTTTACTGAGACAGACAGAAAACAATTCTCAAAGCCGAACGAGCATGTATACCAAGGCATCTCTCTTTTTGGCCGCAGTTGTGGCACAGCTCACGACAAAGACCTTGGCGTGCTCCCCTGGGACGTATAGTTGCTCTTCTGACAATGCAACCATTGAAGTCTGCAGCGGCAGCCAGCAGTGGAACGTTGCTGCGTACTGCGATGGTCCTTACTGTCACTTCGTACAGGGACTTCCGTACTGCGTCTAGAATGATACGGGTTTACTCTGGGATAGCTACTTTCTTGGCAACGTGCCGTGCTGGAACTGGTGTCACGATACCGAAGGCTATGTATAGTCAGTCACCCCATCAATAAGAATCGTAACGCAGACCGATTAAAAGAGAATCAAATATTTTATTATTGGATTCTTCGAAATTGAATACACACTTCCCAATTGCCAGCTCCGCGGCGTCGACATAAGAGCTATGCAAACGGGAAAATCATCGTCTACATCCGGAACGGAACCCGACTTCTGACACACTTGAATGGCTCTGGCTGCAATGGGATACAGCAATGCTCATGACTAGATGCTGGAAATGAAGAGACCGACAAAACACTCTGAGAAAGCTATGGAAGAATCGTAAATGTACCGCCGTACTTATGCGACAAACAAACTAAATTCTTATGTCAAATATCTTACGGCCGCTGCAGAGTGCACCTCGAAAATGTGAATGTCTGTGTAGGCTATGTCATTCTTCAGAAATAGAACTAAAGACAAATTGTTCATGGGCTCGCAGAAGGCAGAGGTTCAGCGTGGGCATCTAGAGAAATTAGCCTAGAACCCTGTTGACGGCGCAGCCACTGGGCGCAACGAACTTCTTGGTATTGGGGAAATTATACAGTCACGTGCGAAATGCCTTTCGCTTTTGAGAACAATTTTAGATTTAGAAAATGGCCCACACAGTGCAAACTGAGATCAAACTCGTGCTGAATACTAACCAAGCGCAGGTTAACGCTGTTTTACTACAGCCTAAGTTGGGTACCTGGCTTCAAACCGTGCCGGGCTGAGCCATGTGGCCGATTCCAGTCTTGCACTTTCTCAGGACTCGAAACCTACCGAAAATTGACCGTTTGAGCTTCAAAATGTCCCAAGGCCACATCTCCGCTCCACAAACGATTGGTTGTATAGGCGAGAGGCAGTGACCGAAGCTTCGCGATGTCGAGGAAACTATACGGCCCAAATGGTATGAAAACTATCGGAGCCAAGCGCTTTCAATGTAGAAAGGAATGTAGCTTTCTATATATCATCGATCGATGGTATTATACTCTGCGAGGTCTATGATGAAAATACAGGCTCCAGCGCTTTTCAAGAATTCATTGACAGCTTACCCCACATTGTGCCAGATTAACGCAGCCAGGATCTGTTTACTTACGGCAATGTTCAATCGAGTTTTCAGCAGGGTTTGAAGAAGATAATTGTTGATGCGGGCATTGTATGCGAGTATCCATCGCCCTATCCGCTGGACATAAAGCCGATCGAATATTTGTATGGTTTCTTGAAGAGCGTCATCAGATCGAAAGCCCAGGAGGATAGAGATCTCATGCGTGGTGACTTGGAGTCATTAATTGAGATGCGAATTGGCATGCTGCAACGAGATAAAGCGAGGGCGAAAAAATAGGCTCGAGACATTTCCTAATGGCAGGGTTTCGAGCTGAAGACTGGCAGCGAGAGCCAAAGTTACGACATAATGACAAAATACTCGAGCATATACGGTGCAGAATCTATTAGAAAGTTATGTTTGAAGAATAGGGGCAAAAGCGGCGTGACCGAGTACAATATCTTAATTACTTTGAAAACATCTGGGGGGGGGGGCACATTACTTGGGGGAAGCTTCATGCAGCTCTCGAGTATATCCGCCAGCCTTCTCGCACTGAGTTAGAGCCAGAATTGTCCTATCTATAATCTACGACTGTGTGCCGTAGCCTAGGACTAATAAAGGTAACTCTAGAAGACCGAAGGTGTCGGGATGCAGCTGTCCGCTGGAAATTTCGACTGTGATCTCAAACCTTGACGAGGTACGGACGCTACGAGAGAACACGCATTACAAACTTTGAGATCGTCAGTTACAGGATCGTTTCACAAGGCTATGATTGTACTGTCCTTCATGACATGCTTCAAGACAAAGAAGAACACCTCAATCAGGCAGCCAACAACATTATGGAGCTATTCGATAAGCAGTCAAAGGTCGAAGTAAATGAGTTATTCAAGGAAATATAGTATACAGCGTAATATTTGAAAATATTTAGTTCAAATGTACATACACCGACTTGAGATTGCTATACTGTCTCCTTGCTATTAAGTAAGCGTTGATACATAGCCTCTGCCTCCTTAAGTCGTCCCTGGTCCGCGTAGAGATTCCCAAGGTTATTGACCGTGTCCAGCGTTGATGTGTGGTCCGGTCCCCATGCCTTCTCCTTTCCCTCGAGTGCACGTTGAAACATGGCCTCCGCCTGTTGATGCCGTCCTTGGCCTTTGTAGAGATTCCCAAGGTTATGGACTGTGAAAGGCCGCTAGTAAGTTGATTCAACTATCTAGTTCCTATGCTGTTTTCTATCAAGATGAAGAGGAAAGAAAGTGAATCAACTTTATGAGAGCATAACAGCACTTCTATAGCTTCGATCAATGGAAGGTTCTAGAAGCTCGGCGGCACAGCCGCCGCTCAAGCGGCTTGCCCGTTACATTACCTCCCTCCCTTTCAAAGTTTCCTCTTCCGTGGGTACATGGCGATCTGTGTCAAGATGGCTTGAGAAGGTGACACTCTTTTTAAGTTTCTTCCATTGCTTCCATACATCAGTGTGTCGAATAGTGCTTAGGGGCTCCCATGTAGGTTGTGAGTAGTCATGCCATTTCACGAGCACCTTCTTATACGG